AGAGGGATAAAAGAGAGACAAGACACAGACCAGCAGGCTTGAAGGTTAATGGGAAAGAAGAAACCTGAAAGAACAGGTTTTTTGCTTGCAACTAGTGTTTTATTTTGAATAAACAGGGGCACTCACAATTATGAGAATCTTTTTTGGTTAATTACTGCTATTTATGTTGACAATTATCAATTATCAATAACTGCTATTTATGTTGACAATTATCAAAAAAGATTCTTTTATATCCTTAAACTTTGTCAGCTGAATGTGTAATCTTTAGGTTCCTATGTGTTTAAGACTTATTTTTACATACACAGTTATGTTTTTATATCTGCAGTAATTCACCAGTCAAAACATGACATGCATGATTTTGGTTCCAATCTTTCCACTTTAATTCTGCTCTCACTCCTTCCCTCCCCCCAGTAACCAGTCATATTTGACTGATCTTTTCAGATTAAAAACTAAAAAGGAAGATATATGTCAAATTTATTTGCAAATTCTCCTTGTTGAGCCCTGTCACTTTAGCAACAGCCCTCCTTGAATTCCCTCCCTATTTGGGTTTGAAAAGTGGATGTAACCCTTTCAAGGCTGGATACATTTTCCTTGGATCATTTTCCTGCCTTTGCATTCAGAGACTGGTCTTCAAAGGTCTTTATTAATTGCAATAAATCTTAACCTACAGTATTTCCAATCACACATAAAGGTGACTTAAACCCCTTAGTAGCAGAGAATAGCCTGGGAAAGGATTTCCTATGTTCCAAAGGACAGATAAAAACTTCCAAAATCAGCAAAACAGGGTTTTTTTGTTACACACCAAAGCTGATTTTCTTTCCATGAGCATGAAAAGCCTAATTTTTATGAAGGAATACAATGGGCATCTTGCAGCTCTATAAACATATTTGGTCTTCAGTCATCCTGACAAAAACAGGTTTTGTGAGAGTTTGGTTAAAGCTTCCTGTACAATCTCCTGCCAAAACTGGTGCAGGACATGGTCCTGTCCAGGACCTGACACAAATGCCAGTGCTGATTTTACCAAACTGAGGAAACAGACATGGAATAGGATACCAAGGATGGTTTGGGATAGCAACGTGTCATTGCCATGACTGTCAGCATGGTACCTTTGAGCCAACTATAGAGATAGGAATGTTTTTTCCCTGTTTATATTTTACAGCATTAACCTAATTACATGTTGGAAGGAGTGCATGTTTTTTCCTTGGCCATATCACTGGGACCCAGGCTGAAATGCTAACCTTTAAATATGTCATTAAACCAGTGTTTATAACAGTACAGTGTAGCAAAGCCTTAATTTCTGAGCAGAGTGGAATTCAAAACACGTCTCTAAAATAATAATAAAAGAGATTGAAAATATAAGTCAGAGCAAACCAGATGCAGATAGGAGTGAGCAGAAGCAGTGTGGAGCTTGGCACAGCAGTGGCACACTCATTTTCTGGGCATATGCCTTTTTCCATGGCACTCCTGCTTATTGCAGTTGGTAAAGGGTTGCCCTTTTTCACAGAGTATTTTTCCTGGGCTAACTTTGAATTTATCAGTGCAGGCGTGAGGAGCATTTTGTGCTTGGTGCCTGCAGGAAGTGTTGCCCTGTGTGCCAGTGGATGAATTTGAGAATGGTTTTCTTCAGTTTTCCCCTGTGCTCGTGCTGAGGCAGCAGCACCCGTGTAAAATGGACATGCATGTTATGCTGCATGTCTTTAAGCCCTGTATGAATATTAACTAATTAGTGAGCAAGGGCTGTGATGAGGTTATTGCAAATGGCAGAAGCTGCAGGGGATCCAGCTCAAACACCACCTGCAAGTCTGAATGCGCGAGGGCCCAGAGAACGGGAGGGGAAGCAAACAAGCTGAAAGGCTGGGGCCAGACAGCAAGAGGGCTTCAAAAATACAGATAAATTTAGCACATTAAGACTGGCAGCAGCTCATATAGGTTTAATGGTTACACTAAGAATGGACTGTCAATCTGGACTGTCAGCCTTTAGCATGGAGAGATTATAACCTAAGTGCTACCCAAGCCTTAATTACAGCAAATCAATTTTTTGACATATCATTTCAGGACAACAAAGGTCCCACAGTAAAAAGAGTTTCCTACTCTTCCTTTTAATTTGCACCAGGCTGCTGAGATCTCTGGTGCATAACTTCTGAGCACTTTGGTTTCCCATTCTTAGTTTTCCAAGAAAATACAATTTTTCCTAGGGAACCAAAGTTAATCTGGGAACTAAATCCAAGGTCACAGGTTATGTTCCAAGCTAACATATAAGCTCTGCCGACAACCCAGTATTTGCCTTGATCTCTCCATTCTGGTTACTCTGGCTGTGATTTTTGTGGCTGTCTCCTTTGGGAGAAGGTCTGCAACTGTTCAGAGTGAATGAGCATCCCCGGCAGTATAAGTGAGGATAAAACTGTTAAGGAAAAGGTTGGTATGGTAGGACCAACTTTAAGAATCAGGCTTATCATAGCTGGGGTAAGGAATTGAGGGTGTGCTTAATGCCAAAAGGTCAGCCAGCATCACAATGGCTTCACAGATCATGACAGGTTTGTGTTTACCTGGGGATGAGATCTGTCCTTTGCCCAACGTGTATCACAGCCAATGCAATGAAGGCTTATGCACACCCTGATGTCACAAAAACCAGCTGGCTTGGGGATGACTAAATACAACACCTCAAGGGCCCAGCTACAGGCTGAGACAGAGCACTCACTTCTGGCACATCTTTTCAGTTTTTCTTGCCCAGAAGAACAAACAGCGCTGAAAGCCCTTTCCCGTGGGGTGAAGAGAGCAATGAGATATGAACATAATCCTCCAAGTGTGTTTGACTGCCTTGCTGGGTCTTGAGGGGAAGCCCTTAGCTAAGGGAACTGGCTAGCTTGTGTCAGTGCCAGATAAGAAATTTTTTTAAGACAGAGCATTAGAGAAAAGTAAAAAAACCCCAACTTTTTTAAAAGGGGAGGGAGGAATATTTACAAGTGCATGAATGGAAGCTTTGTCGACAGTTTTCTTGGGAGATAAGGAGCTGGACTGGCCCATCTCTGCACGGCATGGACACACTCGATGCCTTTGAGTCTCCCAGGAAAGAGCAAAAGGAGCTGCTGACATTTCTGCTTAAAAGGAAGAATCAATGAATCTTTGTTTCCCACCGCCTGCTTGTTTGACCTTATTGTGTTGCGGAATAGAAAAGAAATAAAAGGGAACGGTGAGGGGAGACCAGATTCGTGCTAATAAAATCCAAGACAAGATCACAGCCCTCTGATCATCACTGGAGATGCCATTATTTGGTTGTTGTCCTATTTGCTGCTGTTGCTCATTTCTGATTCTTGCCCTGCTGTAATAAGTCACACTCTTTCCAGCCATCATCCCTGTATTGACAGGCAAATGTCACCCCGCTTTGATTGACGTCCATTGCTCCTGAATACAGAAGTATGATTTAGGAATCAATTCTGTTTGTTTATTTAAACAGCTCTTTGTGTACCTTGTAGATCTGTAAGCAGGAGAAGTGCTTTAATATTTTCTCTGCAACATTGCCACTAATACTGCACATTCACCTTCCCACTCAGTCACAAAGGTGCCCATCAGACCCTGGGGGAGGAGAAGACTTTCATGCAAAAAAAAAAAAAAGAAAAAAAAAAAAAACAGAAAAAACCATCAGCAACAGCAACAAAAAAGCCAGCCTCCAAGATTTAATAAAATGCTGCCCCTGAGTTAAGCCAAAGAGATTTTTATATCAGGTCTTAAGCATCTGACGATTTGCATATAGCCCGGACTTTTCTTTGGCTTCTAAACAAAAGGGAGCACTTTCCCTCAGTGCCGGTTTGCAAGCAGAGCAGCGGCTGGCTCTAACACCGGCAAACACTGTCGCCAGTGATGAGCACGTCAATTTTAATTCACAAGAAAAACCATTTCCTTTTCTGCCTGTGTGGTTGCAATCGGGACGAGGAGGAAGAGGGAGACCCGAAATTGCCGTTAATCTCTTTATTATTGTGGGAGGTATATTTTCAAATAACTTTTACTTGGACAATTGGTAAAGCATCCCTGCATTTAAAGCGGTATTTCCCAGAAAACGCTAACACGGCAAAGTGGCCTCAGGGAAGCGTTAAGCAGGAGGTGGATTGACCTTTTAATTCTCGATCGGTGACCCGAAGGGTACCCAGAGGCTGCTAAGCACGTCTCTTCCTTTCGGTCTGCTTCAGAAAGAGCTGTCATCACAAGATGCAGCTAGTGAGTGAGGCTCACGATTTCGCTGTTCATCCGTTTGCGGGAGAGGTGGGGGAGGGAGAAAAGAAAAAAAAATATATATTTCCCACACTGCCAGAGTAATGCCAAACTCTCTGTGAGTGGGAAGAGCAGAGCAGATGCTGGAATGAGATGCCAAAGCAGCTCCCCTTTCCCCTGCGCTTTTGGGTGCCTATAAATTGCTCCAGCGCGCTCGTCAGCCTCCTCCTCTCCTGGCAGGTGGCACTCGGGCAGGATCCCGCTCTCCCTTCGGCTCCGGCTCCGGCGGCGGCGCGGGCACTGGGCGGCGGGCACCGGGGCTCCGGCCGGGAGGCGCGTCCCCGCTGAGGACTGTCATCCCTGCGAAAAGAGAGAGAGAGGGAGGGAGAGAGAGAGCGGGGAGGCGAGCGGGGCGATCGCGAGAGGAAAGGCAAGTTCCAGGGAAAGTTGACTCGGACTGGCACAGCCTGCAAAAAAAAAAAAGTCGATCGCCAGCGGGAGCATAAAAGTGCGGGCGGCCGGGGCGCGGCGGCAGCTCTTCCTCTTCCTCTCCCGCTCCGCTCCCTCGCCCGCCCCGCGGCTGCAGCGGCCGCAGCGGAGCGCCGCGACCCGCGGGATCCCCCGCGACACCGGCGGCCCTCGGGAGGGCGGCCGAGCCCCAGGGGAGCCGAGCTCGCGCGGGCTCGGCGTTTTTTCGGCTCTGAGGAGGAACCCCGCCAACCATCAAGATTTTGTCCAAAAGCAGACAAGAGGATCGCCCTGCGCTGAGCCGGCTGGTGGGCAGCAGGCGGCGGCTGATAGCGGCCGGCGCGCTGGGGGTGGTGATGGTGCTGCTGCTGGTCATCCTCATCCCGGTGCTGGTCAGCTCGGCCGGCACCTCGGCGCACTACGAGATGCTCGGCACCTGCCGCATGGTCTGCGACCCCTACGGCGGCACCAAGGCGCCCAGCACGGCGGCCACGCCCGACCGCGGGCTCATGCAGTCCCTGCCCACCTTCATCCAGGGGCCCAAGGGGGAGGCCGGCCGGCCGGGCAAAGCGGGGCCGCGGGGCCCGCCGGGGGAGCCGGGGCCGCCCGGCCCGGTGGGGCCGCCGGGTGAGAAGGGCGAGCCGGGGCGGCAGGGCCTGCCGGGGCCCCCCGGGGCGCCGGGGCTGAACGCGGCCGGGGCCATCAGCGCCGCCACCTACAGCACCGTCCCCAAAATCGCCTTCTACGCCGGCCTCAAGCGGCAACACGAGGGCTACGAGGTGCTCAAGTTCGACGACGTGGTCACCAACCTCGGCAACCACTACGATCCCACCACCGGCAAGTTCACCTGCTCCATCCCCGGCATCTACTTCTTCACCTACCATGTGCTCATGCGGGGCGGCGACGGCACCAGCATGTGGGCCGACCTCTGCAAGAACAACCAGGTGGGCGCCGCGCCGGGGGCAGCCGGGGACAGGAGGGCAGGGGGGCCCCGGGAGGACGCGGGGTTCCCCGAGGGAGCGGACGCTGTGCGGGCAGCGGGCGGAGCGGCGCGGGAAGGGCGGGAAGCGGGCGGGGAGGGGGAGCCGGGCGGCCGCTGGAGGCGGCGCGGGTGCGTGCCGGGGGAGCGGAGCCCGAGCCCGGGCGGCGGCAGGGGAGCGATGGGCACCGGCGGCCGCCTCTCCGCAGCTGGCGGGGAACCTGCGGGGAACCCGAAGGCTACCGAGGGGCCGGGTGCTCTGCAGAGCCGAGGCCGCCGGGCTGCTGGGTGAACGCGGACTCGACGCGCTCTCCTCTCCGAGAGCCGCGCCGCAGGTGCCGCTCCCAGCCCGCTGTCCGAGCAGAGCAGCCCCCGGCCCGCCCCGGGCGCGGAGCGCTGCCCGCAGCTCTGCCGGGACGGGAGCGGGGGGCGGGCGGACAAACAGCGCTGCCCCCGCAGGGGCGAGAAGAGCCCGGCGCTCCCTCGGGGAGGGGAAAGTCCCCGGCAAGAAAGGGGAATCGGGGTGGTGAATGAGCTCAGGAGAGGGTGCTGCTGTGTCGGGAAAGGGTGAGGTGCGTGGGAGGAAGGCAGCCACGGCACGGGACGGGGCTCCCACGCAGCGGAGCGCCGGGCTTGACACGCTCAGCCCCCGGCGGGTGCGAGGCTTCTTCTCCCTGTCAGGAGAGCTGGTGATAGAGCGAGCTCGGAGCCCGCAGACCTGAGCCCTTGGCGGGCCGGTGCCGGCTGACGGACCGTGCCAGGAGGCACACCGGGCGTCCAGAGAGCCCGGGCAGGACCCGAGTCTGTCGGCATCCCCTGGGCAGGATGAAGGCATCGGAAATAATTAAAGGCTTTGCGATGCTGCCGTCTGAAACACAGAGGAATCATCCCTTTTAATTAGGATAAACGTAGCCACTGCCTGTTACATTGCCCCCTTGTAACCCCTCCTTCGCAATTTTGCGCCTTTTCCGTGAGTAGTTAACAGACACGGTTAGGCTGGCACTAATTCCTCCGGCGCTTAGAGGCACCGCCATCCCTCAAGGCTCTGGATGCCCAGGGACAGTGCGAGGTGCCCAATCGTCCCCATGTCCCCGGAGCTCCGCGGAGCTCCCGCCGGTGCCCCGGCCCCCGCGCCCCGGCGGCTCAACAGGTCCCGCTGTGCCCGAGCCGTCCCGGCGAGCGGGGCCGCAGGGCGGGCTGGCGGCTCGGGGAGCCCGGAGCCAGCGCTGCCGCTCCCCCTGGGCTGCGGGGGGGCTGCGGGATGGCTCGGCTGCCCGCTGTGTCCCCAGGACGGGACAGCGGCCCCCGTGTCCCCGCCGTGCCCGGCGGCCGCGCACGGCCCCGTTCGTTCGCGCGTCCCCTCCCCAGCCGAGCGCGGCCCTTTGTGCGCAGCGCACACGGGAGCCGCGGCCGCCGGTAAATTAATCTGATATGCCACTTAACCTTTTCTTTATGGCTCCTCAGAAGGACTGTGAAAACGGAATAATGAGGACATCAGCGGCAATTAATTAAATTAGAAAATATCTACCATAAATACTGTCTCAGCAGATAAACCAGACTAGTAAAACTAAGTACATCCTAATAATATTCACTTTGATATCTTCCTGCAAAAGCAATATTCTTCACTGCAGGAATACAACTTTACTTACAATTAAAGAATTGATCCATATTTATAGAGTGTTTACTTTCCTGAACCCTGAAAAATAAATACATGGCAGTAGTTTTAGAGAAGCATCCAATTACAAATATTCAATTGAACCTGAGGTCTAACCATTTCTAAATATAGGTACTTCCAGTGCCAGACATGAGGCAAACTCAGAGTTATTCAAAGAAGAATGAAAAAACCCACCTAAAGAGAGGTTCTATGTATACATTTGTATATACTATACAAGATATTTAGGGAAATACCTGCACATCAATGGTTTAAAATTGACCCACAGTTTTAATGCCTCAATGATTAATTAGGATTTTTACTTAAAATACTAAATGCTGATGTGACAGGCTTTATGTATATTTGTAAGGAAGCTCAGAAATTTTGGAAGTAGTTAAGTGGAGTGACAAAGGCAACATTACAAATCCCATGTTCTCTAACAATGAAAAAACCGGAAACATTGAAAACTGTTTGACTTACAGGAAAAAAAAAAAGCGTTCCTAAGCAATACATATGTGAAACCTCAAGGTCCCCAGTGTTACCACATTGTCTGCTTTAATGGTTATCAAGCCTGAACAGGGAAGTGCTGAGGTGGCACAGCTTAGGGATGTGTGTGCAGGCTGAGAGCGTAGCTTCATGAAAGAACTTACATGGAACTTGTGAAATGTATTGTCTCATAACGCTTTAATTTTGAGATGCATTTACCCTCTTGCAGCAGTACACTCCATTCATTTGAGGAGAATTTATTTGAGACTGTTCTCCTAGGCTTTAAAAAGAAATTGTTCTGGCTAACCAAGCAAGAAGGTAAACCCACTAAAAATAGCATACAGGACCTTTGCTGCTACACACAGGGCAATAACATCTACATTTTGGTTTCTAGACTTTCAATATCCAGAATCTTTTTCTTTTTTCCAGCCAGTATGTATTATGTAGAATCTTAAAAATGAACTATCCATTGCTGTTGTAGCCAGTGTCCACATGCTAACTGCTGACTTCCTTAGGATTGTCACTGATGTAATTCAAATTCTCCCTTACCATCCACAAGATTTTATACAAATCCACAAAGCAGCATTTCATTAGGAAGTAAATGCGAATTTGAAAAGCCCTTTAAACCATTCTTCTCATCATTATGCAAGATCCTAGTTCTCTGTGAAAGTTCTTCTACCTTCTCTGTGGCCTTTTCACTCCTCCCCACCTGCCCTTTCCATTTCCACTGCCGGCAACCACCTCAGTCCATCACTTTCTCTGGAAGATCTTTCCAGGGTTAATGGCCCAGAGCCTTCAACTCTGCCCTGCCAGTCACTATTCCAAAGGAAACATCCAGCACTTAGAATAATTATTGCTTAGAAAACTAGCAAAAGAGATCACCGCTGTAAACAATACCAGGCAAGTCAGGACCAAGAAGTCCTGAAATAGTCGGGGTTTATCATCATGCCACGTATCGGTTTAAATTTGCAGCCTGTCACAGCTTTGCAAGCCTTTGCAGCCTTTCTCACTGTTCTTACAGGATGCATAAAGAATTTCCACCTACTGTGATTTTTAAGCTGCATAATGCCATAAGATCCTGCATGGTAAAGAACCCCCTCCTTTTTAACATTTCAATATTAATGTGAAATCATATCACATGAAAATTTAATTTGGAAATTTATCATGTAAACTTTGAAAGGAATCCATGGAAAATTGTGACTTATAGCCTATTTTTTTCAGTTCAGAGCAGAAAAAATCCCACATATAGTACGCCAAGTCATGCATTATTACTTAGTTCAGATTTGCAATGCCACTAAATCATTTACTGCTCTGTAACTACGCTAGAACAAAGACAAGCAACAAGCAGATGACGTGTTACACTGAAATAAATCACATACGACCATGTTTAAATATTTTACCAAACAGAGTCAAATTATATATAAATGATTTGGAGACTTACAATGGCACAGGCTGTTCATTGCTGGAAACCAACATATATCTTGAAATTACAGATTATTTCCAGTTTGCAAGAAATGTCAAATTTAATCAGTAGTGGAATACCAAGGGAGAAATGGGAAAAAAAGTATGTTTAAGGGAAAGTTGCAAATGAAAAGCCCTCAATGGCTTCTAAATTTCAAAAATTCGTACAGCAAATAGTGACTTGCCTGTGATTTTTCAAAAGTGCATCTCTTAAAACACAGTGAAATTAAATGTTTGCTTACTGAACTGTGGTAATAGCAGTTTTTCCAAACCCAGACTGCTTGTGTGCATGGGTGTGTGGGGGGTGTACTTCTTATATTATTTTTTGCAGCATGATCCTATTGCTTAGTATGACAATAAACTGCCTCTGGAAAAAGTTCATCTTGGGGACTCCCTGTGGGCCTCCTTGTGGATCCTCAACATTGTCAATCACTGATACAAAAGTTACACCAAATGTAAAACTGTCACACGATCAGATCCAGTTCTCCCAACTCCAGCTACTCTTACACATATTTATAAAAAGGCTCCAGACATCGACAGATCAGGCAGTTGTGCATTCATCAGATGACAGAGAAAGGAGAATATTGCTTTAGTTTCAGAAGTACAGCAGAAGAAAATAAGCATTAGCCATAGGAATGAACTACAATGTACATTGCCAGATGTTTAAAGTGGCAACTCATGCATGTTGAATAAAACTTTGAGGATATGCTTTAATTTCAGCAGGCAGGAAAAATTGCCTGAGTTTTCTTAACCAGTGGTTCTGTATTTTCTGTAGGTTCGAGCTAGTGCGATCGCTCAGGATGCTGATCAGAACTACGACTACGCCAGTAACAGCGTGGTTCTTCACCTGGAGCCAGGAGATGAAGTGTACATCAAATTAGATGGAGGAAAAGCACATGGAGGAAACAACAACAAATACAGCACATTTTCTGGATTTATTATTTATGCTGACTGATAATGAGTAAAAAGACCCACCAAACCAGTCGAGAAACGAAGCCTGCCCTTCTAAGCGATGGATTGCGTGGCAAAAGTCAATGAAACAAGCACCCCAGCAGAGAGTGACCACTGAACACCTCAGCAGTGGGGGGAAATGTTGAATGCTACCTGATTCACATCTGTACAACACAGAGAAACCTTATGTTAAAAAACCACAAACCAAGTTAAGCAGATGTGCGATCCACTTCCGCCAAAGCAAATACTTCCTCATTGTTACGTGTCCATGTGAATGAAGTTCTGCCTAGATCAGATTTTTATAGGGAAGGAAAGCCCACCTAAGGACACTGAGTTATTTCTTCAGTGTATATGATACTTTGATGTGTTATGATCTTGCTGCTTTATCCATACTTCAGCTTTGGTTCTTGTGACTTACCTGCTAACAATGATGCTTGGAGTCCACTCATAGTGTGGTGAGGAATGATTTTACAATAAAAGGAAGAGGTAATCAAAATATACTTTCTCTCTGCAAAGAAATTGTTTGCCTTGTACTTTTCTTACCCTTCCACTTAAAACTAGAAACTAATCAGCTTTAAGCCTTAACTCGATGTTTCTGTTTTGTAGGTTTACATTAGACTTTTAACATAAAGATCAATCCAGTGGAGTTATTTAAATTTTGTCTTTCCCTTAGCTGTCCTCTAAAACAAAATGATAGAAGAAACACTATTTTGCCCTGAAGAATATAACAGCTGACAAACTATTCTATCAGACCATATCCCTGATTCCACCAAAGCAAATCGCAAAACTCTCACTGCTATTGGTGGAAAAGGGATTTGGCATTTAATTTGTATACATGTAAATATATATTTAGACAATTATTAGAGGCCCATTGTTGATGGTTAGTTGTGTAAATATTTAGAAAGCCTGGCATCCATACCATCAGACTAAGAGGCAGTGTTTTCTTTGCAGCAATTAGTCTTCATTAGTCTTTCAGCACTTAGTCTGTACCTGGGTTCTATTTTAATAAAGTAGTTACAGATTAATATACTGCAGATGTTCCACTAGAATTTCATAGGAATACAGACAACCTTTACTGTCTTAGGTGTCTTGTCTCACTGAAGTCAGTGGGATTTTTCCAACAAAGGAAGAGTGGGAGATCTGACACATGAGGAAATGCTGTCACACAGACTTTTTCCATGGAAGCCAGTACCAGTCTGTGGTAAGGTGTGCCTATGAGATGGACACAGAGAAGCATTTTACCAAAAATGATAACACATATGCAAAGAAAGAAGCAGATATTTACATGCAAAAAAAAAAGTGTGTATTAAAACCTATTTTTCTCATTCATATAGATATAGATATAGATATATAAAGTCTCAAAGAAGCTTAATCCATATAGAGGATTAATGGCTTGGAGAATAAACTAAACAGAGATACATAGTTATAAAAATGCTTTAAAATCAGTCATAGCAGTAATGTCCACAGATTTTTTTTTAATTCAGAGAATGGATTTATTTGCTTTGGTTTTGGGAGGCTGTTTCTTTCAGGTTAAAACTTGCAGATTTCATTCTAAACCCAAATTTCAGCAAGATTATTCAATTTCTTTAGCACAGTTTGTACTTATTTTTAACCTTTTGGCAAAATCAAGGTAACATTTCTGTAAATCATTAAAGAGTAACAGAGGCTACCCCTAGCATTACTATTGCATATACTCTGTCACAAGCAACCTTGTCTAATGTAATAAGGGTACAAACTTGGATTTATCTGCACTAAAATTTCCAAAGTGTCTGCCACTCTGACAAAAAACCTCTCCAGTGCTGGCTACTCAGCAAAAGTCTGATAGGGACTTTACACATTGCCCTAAAAATTTCGTTTGAATGAGTGAAGCTTTTCTCAAACAGAACGTGTTCCTCCTTCTGCTTTGAGCCGTTCAATTCTAAACAAACGCCGAGCGAGCCCAGGCTGCTGAGAGGATCGCCAGGCAAACTCATCCAGGGTTTACAAGGGGACATGGTGCTGCCAGCTGCTTGTGTATTATCTCACCAGATGCTTCTACCTTATGACTAAGTGCCAGCTCATGTCTGTGCTTTGTAGTGGTTACTCCTGTTTAATTTCTACGAGGCAATTATTTCAGTACCAGATGTGTACCTGACTTGTCTGCTCGCTCCACTGTTGCTGTTGCTGGCCAGTGTAGATTCCCTGTGTAGTGTCCAGCAGTCCTGCACCTAGAGCTAGAGATCATTCACAACCAGCAATGTGCATTTACCACAGTGTGTATTGGTAAAGCTCAGTACTACAAGGCATACATGGTCAAATTTGAAGAAGCTTCTGAAATCAGGCTACCACTGCTATTGGACAACACCATTTTTTGGATAAATCACCTGCCCTGGTTAAAGTTAGACAAGAGCAAAGAACACACTTTATGTGAAAACCACATATAAGGCAAACATTTCTTCCTTTTTCATCATATCTTGATATACTGATTTGTAAAGACTTATATCACAACCTTTGTTATAACTAATACAACTCATTAAAACTGTATTATGTAATATATTTTGAGTGCTGGTGTTGCATCCTTACAAAAAGAAGCTGGTATGTGTCAAGTTTTACATGATTTCTGTGAGACTCCAAGTTCATGAAAAAAAATTAATGCAATTAGAAAAAGACATCTGTAATAATACTGCACATACTTTAAGAGGTGATCAAAATGCTTTATTCAAAAATATATTTTTCCATGTATTTTTACATTTTCAGTTACAAATAAGTAAATTGTTAAACTAGAAAGAAACCTTATCTTTTTTGAGATTCATCTTGCCTTCTCTTGTCAATGGAAGCTAATTAAAATTTCCAGATCTTTCAATCAAGTATTACTCAAAGAATATGAGGATAATGAGAAGATTGACAGTATTAGAAGGATTAAAATCAGCCCCTGAAGACAGGAAATTTAACTGAAAACCATAAATTCCTTCCAAGGAAATTTCCTTCCAGGTGACACATCTTCAGAAGTAGTTTGGAGGTAACATTCAGTAACAGTATTAGATTATGCTTTTGAAACAATTATTTTAAAATTTCAGTTGAAAAGATTCTGTAGGTAGGCTCCTATTCAGTAAATCATTCATGAGCAAACTTTTAGAAGGGAGAAAATGCAGAGACAGTACACAATTTGGATGTTCTAATTAAAAAGAAAAGTTACAATTAGTTTGCTTGCATCTACTTAATTTTTAGTTTTTCAGAAATTTTTTTAAATGACTGCTCTACTGAAACCTGAATTTTATTAAGCTTCCTTATAAATCAGGCATATTTATTCATTGTTCCTACTTAAAAGTCAACCACCGCTTTGGATTTGCTAGGAGTATTTTATCAATTTTATCTTGGGATATGCCTCTAATTAGCATTTTAGGAACTATATTTTTTAAGATATGTGAATATCCATGACCTCCATATTTCATCAACCTGTTCTTGGTGTGCACATCATGAGCCATCAGAATTCTGTCTTCATAGCCTTCATCAATCAGCATACGAATCCTGCAAAAGTTGGAGGCATCCTTGTCAGTGAAAGTTCTCACTACAACAGCATTTCCATTTCTTACATTCCTGTACTGCTGGACTGTATAGGTGCTCAGAGGATATACTCCTTACATTTACCCAAAAATAAAACACATTTTTTATTGCATGGAAAATATCCCACCTCTGAAAACACACCAAACTTTGCTTTTGGCACATGACTTGGCATTTACAGACTCGTAAGTTCCACAGAGGAATTCAAGAACTTCAGCATCACCACGCATGGGACACAGGTTTTATATAAATGAGTAAATAATTATTTCCTAGATAAATTCCTTCTCAGCAGGTTACTTTTTGCTGCTGTCACAAAGCTGGTCCCATTACATTTGCTAATGACCAGACTCTGTGTGTGACAGGCCTTTAAAGGAGCCTGGCTCAATAACATAAATACTTTCAGATCTTTGGTTGAATCCCATTTAGCAAAGCAGGTTAATAAAAAGTTGAAGTTGCCAGTATCATACTCCATATAGACAGTTATCATCAAAACACATTGCAAGGATGTTCATTAAAGAAGACAAAGAAGACTGGCATGGCACAGCATATGCCAGGAAATAAGGGGCATTAATTAATATGGCAGTGCAGCTAAACAGCCTTGGCAAAATGACAAGTCAGCTTGGAAAAAGAAGTAATCCTTTTGGTCACACTCTTGTAGCAGGACTACTACAAGTCCTTCTGCTTCACGTTTCATTCAAGTAGCCTTACTCCCTTGATCAGCTCATTTTTTAGCATTTGTATTATGTGGATGTCTACACTCCTGTATTGCATGACTGTCAAGTTTCTCAGTAAGCTTCCATTTAGTCTGGCAGAGGATTACAGCACTGAAGTGGCAGGGACTGACAAACCAGCCCTGGAAAGTGCTCATTCCTCAGGAAGGCCTCCAATTCCATCACTTGCCAGCACTCTGAAATCCTAATCCTTACCTTCCTGACAATGCTGTGATCAGCAAGAAAACAAAAACTAGCCTTACAAGTACCCACACTGTATCTGAAACCCCTCACTGTCAGTTTTTATTACAGGTAGTTACAAGGAGATACATGTAGCAGCACCACATCAGCATGGGCAGTGGAAAAAAGGCAAATAGGATAGAATTTGGTAAAATGTTATTGCTTTTCAAAAATCCACCACACATTGTGCCATACAGTGCACAACACTACGTAAACCATAGTCTAACAACATCACAAGAATCTCCTCCAGCCTGAAATACAGAAAGACCACAAGCCAACCAGAAAGTAAAAGCAATGGCACTGGAGGGACTAAGTTTTTGCTCACAAAACATATTATTAGAATCACCTCCTTTAATATTGGACTCATTTCATGGGTTGGGGAGGCATATGATCCTTTCCATTCTGTATCCATTGCTCCTTTTTGCTCATTCCTTTATATATAGTTATTACTTTCTGACTCCAAATTGCCCCAGAACAGAAGTCAGTGTTTTGCTTGCATTGGCAGCAGACTACAGCCAAACTGCTGAAGTACACAGACAGCTAAACTGAGTTAAGTAGGTATGTTATGACTACAGAAGTTTGTGTTTTAAGCAAAAAAGATGTGAACAAGTATTTTCTATTCAGTGTTTTCATTTAGAGGTCAAATTGGTTTCTACTTCTGTGGTGCTGTTTCACAAAACAAAACCCTAAGAAGATTGCCCCAGCCATCCTTAGTCCACTGTGGGTACACTGATATAACAAAAATACACAAACTCACACTGTGCAATGAGAAGACAAACCTTTCATCTTTTCTTCCTTTGAACAGCCTGCTGCAAGAAATACTCAGATACTAGAGAGTTTCAGGAGAGGGTGGCTGAGCAAGCATCATGGATGGAATGAAAACTCTGCCACAGTTGAACATGCACTTGTTAACCAAGGCCTAGTCCAGTTCTCTCTATATATTCCCCAGTGCTTCCATAGATGCTGACTTTCCATGGCACAGGAGAGGGCAGGAGGCACAGCAGAGGAAGCAGCTTTACTCTTTCTAAA